GTGGGGGAGGGACATACAAAGCAACAAAGAGATAATCTTATAAATGTGTTAGAAACACATGCATGAAAGAAAAAAACATTAAAATACATATCTAAGAGTTCATTTTCCTGACATCACATCACTGTTATAGTTTTAAACATAGATTTTTAAAAAGAGTTCATAAAATTCATAGTTATTGCAGACAAAGAAAATTCCAAAAATTTGGAGGAGGGATAAATAAATCCTTAATCATGTCAGATTGAATTTATCAAAGAAAGTTTATTTTTATAAAAGGTCATCTGCCTATTGGAGAAAAGTAAATTCTGATTCAGGGTAGTAATTCTATTTTAGCCTCAGTAACTTAGAGAAATGTTAAACATTTTCAGCAAAATGTTCACAGGATGAAGGACAAAGAAAGCACCAGATAGTGGGGGAAAAAAAATCTTACAAATCTCTGAATCTTTAGTTCTTTAAAAGAGACTATTTTTAAAAGGGCTTTTGTAACTATGGGTTTTCTAGACCTAAGCCAATGACCCACTTCTTTCAAAAAAGAAAAAATGTGACACCACTAATTTCAGTACGTAAAGATTATTCAAAAATAAACTGATTAGTAGACAAACATAGTCATTTTTGTTTAAAATAATAATAATATATTGGTAACTAAACAGATTTCCAAAAATATGTGGATGATAATAAATTTTGATTCATCCATTTAAAGAAATAAAATGAAGCCATTGGGAATTATATTCATATTTTTAATAGTTGATTCTGTAATGGTCCTTTGTAGTTTCTCTGTTCATATATATATATATATATTTGTGTACACACACAAATGTGTGTGTGATGATGATGATGACAATTTGCTTCTTTCTCCTGAAATTATATCCTTCTACATATCTCTGGTATTTTCATAGCTTCCTTTTATATATTTAAATTGCTAATCTAGTGGAAACTTATTTTATGTGTATTGAGTAGAATGAAATAGGAATTAAACTTAAATTTTCCTCTAATTGCAAAGTAAATTATTTGAAACTGATTTGTTGAATAATATGCTTTCTATCCCTCTAACAAAAACCTAAGCCGGGTGCTGGTGGCTCACTCCTGTAATCCTAGCTACTGAGGAGGCTGAGATCTGAGGATCACGGCTCAAAGCCAGCCAGGGCAGAAAAATCCGTGAGACTCTTATCTCCAATAAACCACTAGAAATCCGGAAGTGGTGCTGTGGGTCAAGCTGTAGAGCGCTCACCTTGAGCTGAAGAGCACCGGGATAGCAGCCAGGCCCAGAGTTCAAACCCCAGGACCAACAAAAACCAAAAAAAACAAAACAAAACAAAAAAACTAACAAAATTACAATATAATATTAAATTTATATTTCTTTATTTCTTATCTTTCTAACATGTTCTAATATGTGTGTATATTGGAATATAATTGAAATTTTTGGTAAGAAAATTACTTTAACTAATTTGAACATTAAGTAAATTACTTTAAGCATAAAATAATCTCATTAAAATTTGTGAAAAAGTAAATTTTAATGTTAAGTTTATAAACATGAGTTTAATTGTATAAAAATGTACTTGGGGGAACTAGATGTAGAAAATGCAATGGAATAATATTACCAAAACAGTATAAAGCTATTATAGAATTATACTGAAATTAATAAACCCAATTACAAATACAAATTTGGGATATGATGAAGATACAATTTCAATAACAGCAGAAAACATTCATTTTCAACTACAGTGGCCCAATCCATTTTACTTTATTTATTTGTTTGTTTGTTAATTTATTTGGTTCTAGTCTTGGGGCTTGAACTTTTGCCTGGGAGCTGTCTTTGAGCATTTGGGCTAAGGCTAGAACTGCACCTCTTGAGTGACACAGCTACACTCTTGTCTTTTTGGTGGTTAATTACAGATAAGTGTCTCATGGACTTTCCTGACCAGACTAGCTTAAAACTACAATCCTCAGATCTCAGCCTTCTAAATAACTAGGATTATAGGAATGAGCCACCAATACCCAGCCTATTTTACATTTTCTTCTAAAGACAATTCTTACTGCTTCTTTATACCTTCTGCAGTTGTTTCAATTATCACAGTAAAAATGTATATAGAGCAATATTCAGCTTTTCTTCATTTTGAAAAAAAGGTAGATGATGATAAATAAATAAATAAAAAGTATAAAAAATAAAAAGTATTAAATTTAGAAAGTTAATAAACAAATGTGTGTTTGTATGCTTAAGTGAAATGCATATTTATCAGTATATGTAAATAAATAATTTATGCAGCCTCAAAGCTAGGACACATACTACGACATAACCATGAAAGTATTTCCATTCTTCAGTATTATGGCGACCTTCGATTTTCACTTCTGCAAGGGGTTCCCTCTAATTGAACTTAAAATTCCACATTTAGAAAGCATGTCATCCTATTTGGAAGGTAGAATCTGGCCTTCCCTGCTTTACCAAAAGGAATCAAGGAGAAACACTGAGATTTTCTGAAATATCAAGACAGACAAAGCAGAGACATCAAAGGAAGCCAAATGCCTGGTAGTTGTGAATGATTTTTTTCTGCTTTTTTCAGCTTAGGGGAAATTCTTCATGACACTTGGGTTGGGATTGCTTACTTTTTTCTTGAAATTTCCCCTAAAAAGGCAAGAACTTGATTGATTCTAATGCCACCTTCTGGCAACTGTAAAAACTTCAGCTTGTAAAGGTTATGCTAAAATGACTCTGAACATGGATACACCATTACCAAACTACAGCTGCCTGAAATGCCGCCCCCATCTGCTTCCCCAGTGTGAGTTCCGGTAAGAATGAAAGGTTAAGAGGACAAAGTTCTTCCATCTAAGTGTTCAGCATGGCTTCCAACTGTACGAACTTTTCACAGGATGGCACGTGTGTCCCCTCAATCTCTTTAATCAAACATCCTGCAGTCTGTATGCCCCTCATGGCTTAATTATGTGATATGGTAGAAAATAAAACAGTAATAATAAAGAGCTAATTATAAAAGTAATG